AACTTCACACACAGAACTTCAATATTATCTCTCTCTTTTGAATCAACAACTACCGATTGAAAGTCAATTTATTAGCAAATTGGCTGATCATTTAAATGCTGAAATTGTATTAGGTACTATTAGAAACCGTGAAGAAGCAATTCAATGGTTGGGATATACTTATCTTTATGTTCGTATGTTACGTAATCCTACTCTTTATGGCATTTCACTAGACTATTTGGATGAAGATCCTTATCTTGAACAGAAACGTGCTGATTTAATTCATTCAGCTTCATTATTGTTGGACAAATCTAATTTAATCAAATATGATAAAAAAACAGGTAGATTCCAAGTTACCGAATTAGGCCGTATAGCTTCACATTTTTATATAACACACACTTCAATGGCGACCTATAATCAACATTTGAAACCTATGATGGGCCACATTGAACTTTTCCGTGTATTTGCTCTATCTGATGAATTTAAATATATTCCGGTCCGTGAAGAAGAAAAACTTGAATTGTCAAAATTGCTTGAACGTGTCCCTGTTCCTGTTAAAGAAGGAATTGAAGAACCAACAGCAAAAATTAATGTATTATTACAAGCCTATATCTCGTCATTAAAGTTAGAAGGATTTGCTTTAGTATCGGATATGGTTTATGTTACTCAATCAGCTGGCAGAATTCTTCGTGCTATGTTTGAGATTTGCCTTAAACACGGTTGGGCGCAACTCTCTAGGAGAGCTTTAAATCTTTGCAAAATGGTGGAAAAACGAATGTGGCTTTCAATGACACCATTACGTCAATTCAAACAATTATCAATGGAAATGATAAAAAGAATCGAGAAAAAAGAGTTTCCTTGGGAAAGATATTTTGATTTGAATGTTCAAGAATTGGGCGAACTTATTGGTGTACCTAAAGCTGGAAAAATGCTTCATAAACTTGTTCATGAATTTCCCAAAATAAATTTAGACATGACTGTGCAGCCTATAACAAGGTCATTGTTGAAAATTGAATTAGAAATTGAACCAGATTTTCAATGGGATGAAAAGGTTCATGGAAATGCTGAGGCCTTTTGGATTATAGTTGAAGATGTGGACGGAGAGGTTATTCTTTACCATGATTTATTTATTCTAAAACAAAAATATGCAGAAGATAAACATTATATAAAATTAACGGTGTCATTGTTTGAACCTTTACCACCAAATTATTTTGTTTCTGTTATTTCAGATAGGTGGTTACACTGTGAAACAAAATGGCCAATTTCATTTAAACATCTGATACTACCAAAAAAATATCCTCCTCACACTGAACTTCTTGATTTACAACCATTACCTGTTTCCGCTTTACAAAATGATGAATATGAGGCCGTTTACAATGAATGGGTTGATAAGTTTAATCCTATTCAAACACAAGTATTTAATGCTTTGTACAATTCAGATGATAATGTATTTGTTGGAGCACCTACAGGAAGTGGAAAAACTGTTTGTGCAGAGTTTGCATTGCTCCGACTATGGTCTAAACCAAATCCTGGTCGATGTGTATATATTGCGCCATTTCAAGAGGTTGTTGATCGGCAGGTTGTTGAATGGAAACAAAAATTTGGCAGGATTAAAGGTGGAAAGAACATAGTATCACTTACTGGTGAGACAAGTGCTGATCTACGATTGTTAGAAAGCGGCGATGTAATATTTGCAACTCCAACTCAATGGGATGTCATGTCACGTAGGTGGAAGCAACGAAAAAATGTTCAAACAGTTTCTCTATTTATTTCCGACGAGTTGCATTTAATTGGAAGCGATATAGGACCAACATATGAAATTATTGTTTCTCGAATGAGATATATTGCACATCAAACTAAAAATTCAATTCGGATTATTTGTCTGAGTACATCACTTGCTAATGCTCAAGACCTTGGAGAATGGATAGGGGCAAAGCCCCACACTATATTTAACTTTCATCCTAGTGTTCGACCTGTTCCTTTAGAAATACACATACAAAGTTACAACATCCCACATTTTGCATCATTAATGATGGCTATGTCTAAACCTACATATGTTGCAATTACAACATATTCAGTAGACAAGCCAGCAATTGTCTTTGTTCCTTCACGTAAACAGTGTCGCCTGACAGCTGTAGATTTACTTACATTTTGTGCAGCAGATGGATCAAACGATCGTTTCCTCCATGCCAACCACGAAGATATTGAAAAACATCTAAGCAATCTAAATGATAACGCATTGGCAGCTACATTGAGTCATGGCGTTGGATATTATCATGAAGCTCTTAGTAAACAAGATAAAAGGATTGTAGAGCAATTATTTGAGAGTGGAGCTATTCAAGTGGTTGTTGCTTCACGTGATACCTGCTGGGGCTTGAATTTAAATTGTCACATGGTTGTTATTATGGGAACTCAGTACTATGAAGGAACATCACACATGTATGCTGACTATCCAATATCTGATGTTCTTCAAATGATGGGTCGAGCTTGTCGTCCACGTCAAGATGATACAGGACGTTGTGTGCTTATGTGTCAAGGAATTAAAAAAGATTTTTATAAGAAATTTTTATATGAAGCATTACCGGTTGAGTCACATTTACACAACTTTTTGCATGATCATTTCAATGCAGAGATAGTCACCAAAACAATAGAAAATAAGCAAGATGCAGTTGACTATCTGACATGGACATTTTTGTATCGCCGTATGGTTGAAAATCCCAATTATTATAATATGCAAGGATCTGACCATAGACATTTATCAGACCATTTGTCAGACCAAGTTGAAAATACAGTGCTTCAACTTGCAGAGGCACAATGTATAACAATCGAAGATGAGTTAGACTTGGCACCTTTAAATTTGGGAATGATTGCAGCTTATTACAATGTCAGCTATGAAACTTTAGAAACATATTCTAAGGCCTTAACGGAAAAAACTAAACTCAAAGGACTTTTAGATATTATTTCAGCTGCCAAAGAATTCTTTTATATTCCAATTCGACATCATGAAGACATTGTTTTAAAAAGGATTTATGATCGACTTCCATTTAAACTTGGAAATCCTGATTTTAATTCAACCAGAACAAAGACCAACATTCTTTTACAAGCGCATTTTTCAAGAACTCAGTTGCCACCAGATTTGTCTTCTGATCAAAATATTGTATTGGGAAAGGTAATAAGAATTGTTTTATGATTTTAATTAAAAAAATTTTAATTGTTAATAATTAAAAAAATAAAAAATAAATTTATATATTATTTATTAGATAATTCCTTTGATTCAAGCAATGGTGGATGTAATTAGTTCTAATGGATATCTTAACCCAGCAATAGCAGCAATGGAATTAGCACAAATGTGTGTACAAGCTATTTGGGATCAAGATTCACCATTGAAACAAATTCCATACTTTACAACGGATCTTATTAAACGTTGTGAAAAAAAGGGAATTGAATCAGTATTTGATATTATAGATTTGGACGATGATGATCGAAACAGTTTACTTCAAATGAACAATAAACAACTTCGAGAAGTTGCTCGTTATGTTAACAGGTATCCAAATATAGAATTTAACCATGTTTTATTGGACAAAGATGAACTTGTGGCAAATTCACAGGGTACCATTGAAGTATCATTGAATCGAGATATTGATGAAGAGGACGAAGAAGATTTTAATATAGGTCCAGTAATTGCACCATTCTTTCCGTTGAAAAAAGATGAAGGGTGGTGGATTGTAGTTGGTATTTCAAATGATAATTCATTACTTGGCATCAAACGTATCACACTTAACAAACGGCTTAGAATCAAATTAGATTTTACATGTCCAAATAAACCTGGCGAATACAAATTGAGAATATATTTTATGTCCGATTCTTATGTGGGATGTGATCAAGAATTTGATGTTGATATTGATGTTAAAAAGGGTGTAGAAGAAGAAAGTGAAGAAGGGGAAGAAGGCGAGGAGGAGGAAGAAGAGGGACAAGAGGAAGTTGATAAAATGGAAACTTGAGATTTTATTTTTATTTAATTAGCGAATAGAACGTTGTTATGATAGTATTCAAATATATTTAATTTTTTAATAATAATAAAAAAAAAGTTAGGCCGCTTATTAAATTTTTAACGGTTGGCTTGGCCGGCTTGGAAAATAATATGTACTATATAAATATATGAAGATAAATAAATAAAACAATGCATTGCCTTAGAGACGTGGCATGCGCATGAAAAAAAAAAGCGACGCGCAATTTCTCATCCTTGCAAAAACCAATTTTGAGTCTGCTCGGGTCCCTGGGTTCTTCAGTGCACAATCTTTTGACGGATTCAATAAAATAAAATAAAAATCACTTGCGTAATAATAATATTGAAGAGCAACAGAATAATAATAATAACCAAAAATACATTTGACCCTTCTTTTGTTGGCCTCCCTTCCCTATTAAAGGAGCTTTACTCCAAAAAAGCTCGATTTCTGAAGGGAAGGGTTGATGTTATTTCTATTTCTGTTGCCCTCCTTTTACTTGTCGTTGGCTTTTTGTTGACTATTTGGGGTAGAAGTACATGTACATCATAATTGAGGTTTCAACAGGTCCTTCAAAAAAAAGACCCGAATACAAAATTTCAATAAAACCCACAACCCTCCGGCCATCATGAAGTTTTTATTGCATCATATCTTTCGTATGTGGTTGATTAACCTTTACTTAATTGATAAAGGAAGATTAATATGACTGTAATATTTATTCCGAAACAAATATATATAGGTTTAGGTTTTCCAAGAAATTCATCTAAAGTTAGGATTTTGAATTCTTTAATCTTATCCAAAATTCTTCTAGTCCAGCCTAATATGTTTGTGAAAAATATCTATAAAATAAATTTCCTTACGCTTACACAAAACCATTTTTTAATTATACATAATAATAATATCACTAGATTAATTGATTTACTGATGTTGTTTCAGAAGATCTTCCCTGCTAATTGATGATAATTCATTCACTAATAAAGTCATCTTTAGCAATAAAATAATTAAGATGTTATGTGTCACTTACTCCTAATCCTGTTCCTAATGATATGGAGACAGACACTTGATAAAGAAAATGTGCAAAAAAAAAAAAACAGTATTATCAAAGTTATGAAAAACTTTCCAAAGATTTAGCATCTCTGTTTCAGTAGCTAAACAATAAGTAATTAATACTGCTACTTTAGCATTTTAAGCAAAAGAATTAAAGGTAATTTAATTAAAGACAATTAGAACAAGAAAAAAAAATCCTGGTTATTTAAATATTGGTTTATTGAATAAGCAAAAAGAAAAAAGAGAACAAGAAAAACAAATGCTATTCAGGAACTACAAAATAAAGTTAAGGAATTAGAAACTAAACAAAAGAAAAGGTCCAGATGCTGGCCAGGCTAAATAAAGTCAGTACAGAAAAATTGAATTAACTAGATGAAGCCTGAATAACTAAGTCAAGGCTAAAGTGAAAGAAGAGCAAACTCAGTAATGAGTTTATACATTTGGGACTGGTTATCTTATATGAATGTGAAACAAAAACGGTAACTAATATTAATGTTAATAATATATATTGATTCAACATATATACTTTATTATTATTATTATTATACTTTAACTGTTTGGCATTGATGAGTAAAAATTAGTTCTCTATGCAATAAATCAAAAATAATTTAGTATTAGACGTCAACGAAAAAATAATATAGGATAAATAGGATAGAAAATGAACAAACAAACAAACCTTTAACCATTCTTCAATAAAAGGTTTTATTAATGCTGCAAATAATAAACCACATGTAATTATTATGTAAAAATAAACTATTGCTTCGTCTTTGTAAGAATCTCGTTCTATATATAAAATAAAATATAAATTATGGCACTTCTTTTTTTCTTGTTGACCAATTCTTTAAAATTAACATACCAAAACATGTTGCAATTGCTTGAATGTCACAAACATTACCAGAGTCATCATTATTAACGCCAGAACATTCGTCGCCCATTTCTTGTATACAAAAAGCTTTATTACATTCTGAACAAAGAGTACCTACTTCCAGAGCAAAAATTGTAGAATTTTCACCACAAGTACATTTACAAAATGGAATAACCTTTGCAGCTTGAATAGTTGGTAATAATGTTATTAAAAATGCTGTTAATGTAAAACTAATTAATACTAATAATTGGAACTTTAACATTATCAAAAAATATACTAAAAATCTTCAAAATAAGCAAATGTAACACAAAAAATAAATTATTAATATATAGTTCTCTTGAATAATTTTATGTCTCCTTGAATATTTCCACTGATTTTGATAAATTCTGACAGTCTAATAAAAATGCCTTTTTATAATAATTAAATACTTCCACAATTTCAATATTTAGAAATGAAACAAATCTCAATATTCTATACGAGCACACAGTGAATCTCGATTTAGCGGAAATCTCGGTTTTACGAATAAAAGTTCAAGAACGGTTCCTTAATAAAAACCTTCTCGATATAGCGAATTTCTCAGTTTAACGAAAAATTTCCCTAATTGCCCAAACTATCCGTTAAACCGAGATTTACTGTGTATTTTTAATGATCAAAACGAATTTCTCCATCACTTGAATACTCATTGGTCGCATTTTTCTCGGGAGTATCAATTGTTTCAAAAGAAATATCATTTCTTGCCTGCTTCTTGATATCCTCAATAATTTTTACGAACTTGGCCTTAAGCTCTGCATTTCTCGACCTCACGCTTGGCATCCCTTCTCACAATCTGTTTTCCCATCATCAAGGTCTGCAATTCATTGTCTCGATAAATCTAATTCAAATTGCATATAATTGCATGTGAAATCGGAAAAATAAAACCATACTATTACTACTACTATTACTATTATTATTAACTATTTACAAAGTTGGACATGAGTATACAAAGTTAATAAATTATAGGCTTGATGCAGGCGAACTTTTATTAATGATATTTTTTTCGATGTAGCATGTAATAAAAAACTATAAAGCTTAAACACACCCTAAAACAAATAATTGCATAAAAACGTACATAATAAATATACAAAAAAATAATGTCGTTTTGTAACCTAGGCACTTATTAATTCTATATGCAAATTTTCATTTCTCTAACATTTCTAAAAAAAATAATAAATAAAAAAATAAAACTTGGTCCGAATTTTTTTCCCAAATATTCCCACTTCAAAAAAAAAAAGAATTGAATAAAAACGTGCATTATAACCTCATCTGAAATTTTAACATATGATAATACGCATCTTAAATAACCATCTGTGATGTTATGAATTTTTTTGTAAACAAGCTTGATTTTTAATAAATATTTTTGAAAATTTAAAAAAATTAAAAATATTGGCTTTGACTGAAATTCAACATAGCGAAATTATTTGTCTTTACAAAAATAATGAACCCATTTCCAAAATAGCCAAAATTCTTGATATTCATAGAAAACAATATCTCATACTATTAAAAAACATATTGATGGTGAAGGTCTTGCTACAAAGCAGCGAAGTGGTCGCATTACAGGAAGAATGGAGTAAAATTCCAATGGATATCCTATTGAAACTGATAGAAAGTATGCCAAGGAGAGTAGAAGCTGTTATTAAAAATAATGGTGGCCAACCAAATATTGATTTTATGTATATTCCTTTAAAATTTTAGACATGATTATTATGTGAGTTCTTGAGCAATTTTTTTTTTGATAATGTAAATAAAATCGGTTTTGATGATCATTTTTTTGGAAAAAAAAATTCGGACCAAGTTTTATTTAGAAATGTGAGAGAAATGAAAATTTGCATATTAATATAGATTAACAAGGACCTAGGTTACAAAACGACGTTATTTTTTTTATTTTTTTGTATATCAATATTAATATGTTACGTTTTTGTGTAATTATTTGTTTTTAGGGTGTGCGTGACTTTTGTCCAGGTAGTGTATATACAGTATTATATAATGGATGATATAATTCATGACCAAAGGTAAAATGTTGATTTGATGAAGTCAATGAAAAGTTGAAAAGTAAATAATATATTAGACCGTGTAACAAAAAAACAAGCCTATGTATTAAAAACATTCAATAAAGAAATATTATATTAATATTTTACATTATTATTATAAACATCAATTCGAAACTTCGATAATATAAATTTATTAAATTTGCGTACCGATCTTCAAGCCAATAAAATTTTAATTTTTGCGTGATATCTGGAAGGGAGATCGTCGCAAAATTTAGCCAACCAATGAAATCAAATTTCTGCTATGCCCCAAAAAAATTATGCCATATCACATACTTCCTCGATTAAGTCTATTTTATCAATCAAGTCTTCTTCTGTACTCTCAATTAAGAGGAGTTGTACTTCGTTCTGGGTATACATACAATAACCAATGTAAGAAATAAATGCTATGTGCATTTCCAGGTAACAGCACCGTTTTATATGTTTTAAGATATATGGCGGTAACATCAGATATAATTTTGAAATTCTGATGTCTTTAATATCAAATTGGCCAACAATTTGATGATGATGTGGGTCTTGCATATGTGGAGTAAGGCTTGGATTCTCAAACCACGCACCAAAATTCTATGTTGAATTAGGGTTGTATGAATGCTAATGTCCATCTTCTAAGTGTTGTTAAGGTTATTAGATTCATTATTATATAAACATTACAAAATATTTATCGGGATGGATAAAAAAAATTTCTGATCATTAAAATTTAAAAATCTTCTTCGATCTGTGAATTCTAATATCAATATTAACATACGTAAATATTGATTAAAATTATAAAACATGTTGTTGTATGTTTTATTTATTAAACAAAGTTTTTATACACCTAAATCATATGATCAATTAGAAACTTTAAAGGTTGTATTTTTGAATATGAACAAGTCTTAATTGTCTTTATCAAAATATATTTGACATAGTCAGTTATAAATTCAATGGCCTAAAGGTATTTGTAAGATTTCATAAATTTGAACCTTGCCCTGGAAACCATATCGGGGAAACTCTAGCTAGGTGTGGATGCATTTCTAGTTTTCATCCACACTAGAATAACCAAGCATGAGTAAAGTCATTATTGATCTTCCACAAATTTAAGTTATTCTGGGAATTTCTATTAGATATGCAATACACTACTAGTAAAGCTTTTATTGAGATGGTACAATATTGCCAAAAAACTACAGTAGATTTACATCACAAGAAAATCATACCCCTTTAAAAAAAATCCATAGGACTTCGTTAAATGGAAAACATATTATTATTATTAATGACTTTTAATCGTTTATCATTTGTTCAATCTGTTTGGAAAAATTTTATTAATGCAAATGGATTTGATGCTCATGTTATAGGAAAGGTATCATTATCATTATCATTATCAAATAAATTATTTATTATCATCCAATGCCAATAATAATGTCAATTATTATAAAGATGAAAATTGTTAATGTCCTTGATGGTAAAGTTACATGTGAATTGGCAGTGGAAGATTATCACTTGGTAACAATATTTCTATTGGTTGTTTTTTAGATTATTAATGAAAGCAAACAATAATAATTTTTTTTAAAAAAAAAATTTATTTATAAATATATATATAGAATCGTCTTAAATCTCTTCATGGTGGATTAATATCTACATTGATAGATATAGGAGGGTCATTATCAATTGCTGCTAAAGGTTTATACTCAACTGGTTTAAGTACTGATCTAAATGTTAGTTTTATAAATATTGCCAAAAAAAATGATATTGTGATAATGGTAAGGGTAATTATTATTATTATTATTAAAGGAATTTTCTTTTCTCGATTTTTCTTTAATCACATTCTTTTTATTTGCTTAATTATTATTATTAGGATGCAGAATGTGTTAAACTTGGTAAAACTTTAGCTCACACAATCATAGAATTAAAAAATAAAAATAATGAAAATAAATTGATTGCTCAAGGAAGACACACAAAATTTGTTTCAATTGCTCATAATGATGATAAAAATATATTTAAAAAAAATTAACAGTTACAATAATGTATTTGATAAAGTTGGTTGTCAAGCAAAATAAAATAAAATTGCATTATCTCAAAAAAATAGATTGTATTAAATATTGTGATGATTCTTATTATAAAGCTTTCAGACTGAATATTATCTCAATAAAATTACTTTTCAACTACTTTTTTATTTTGCTTCTAACTCTAAGAAATATTTAAAAATATTTGAGTTTGCTATTCTTCCAATAAAAAAAAAAATATATTTGAAAAAGTGTTAAATCTTGTTCTTGAAAATAAAAACTAAACAAGAGCATATGCAGTAAGCACGGTTGCCAACAATGGACTTTGAGGCAAGTTACAAGCAATAAAAACCTGATGTTAAATACATCTAGATGGATTTGTATCTTGAGACCTCCCTTCCATTAAAATATATAAGATCTTTAACATTTAGGGTAAACAAAACAATTAATCAAAAGGCTAAATAAGAAAAATATTCACCAACCTGGACTAAAGACTAGTGCCGTAATCCAAAAAAGGAAAAAGTATGGTTGCAAAAGTGGTCGCAAAGGTAATTGCAACCACTTTTTATATGCCGTAAATACAATTACTACCATCATCATAATTTATGGCACTAGTCTTTAACCTGGACACCGTTCTGGTACTCTTTATTATGAAAATAAATTACTCGGATTAAAATTAATCAAAATACTCCAATAATACTCACTATCCTCATACTTGTCCATTTATCCATGAAAAATGTACAGGTTGCATGATCATGGACATTAGCTTATGTGGGAACCAACTTGTCAAGTAATTTTCTCTAACAAAAAAAGAGTCCAAAGAAACTCAATCCTTCTCACTCTACTACATTCCTAGATTATCAATAACAGCTTGCCATCATTATTCTGATGATGAAACATTCCTGTTTGCGATAACGATCGCCTTGTGACTTTGTATTCATAAGAGAAATCTCATCATCACTAGTTACTGCTTATACACGGCAGAAGTCCTATTAATAAAATTTTGACGTTCACTACAAAAAAAATCTTTAATTGTTTAGATCGGAATTCCACTAAAATTTTAACGGCATCCAAAACAATTTAAACTATTCGTACTACATCCCAAAAATTTGGCCCAATGGTTTTTTCTTTAATTAAATAATAATAATATGCAAGATCCAAAGAATTCATCAAATATTAGTGGCTCATCAGTAAATAAAATATCTCTATTAAATGTGTTGCTGAACATGCATACATAATTTCCAATTAGTTCAAACTTCTAAATGATAAATTTGTTTAAAGTTTATAGATCTAAAAGCAGAAATATTTAAATATAAAGAAGATTTTAAAAGGAAAAAAGAGTTAGCCGGTAAACAACCAGGCTCCGAGGCCTTAAAAAAACCTGAGAAGGTTGTTAGCAGCTTGTTGTTTAATTATTTGTTTCTTTTTTTGAAAGTCATAAACTATATTGTTTTTTCCTATCATTCCAATATAAATAAATAATCATAGAGAGTTGGATTATGGGATCGCCAAAATAAAGGGATTAATGAAAGATTGAGAAAAGATGAATTGGAGATTGTTGAGTCGTCAACATTAGAAGCAAGTAGAAAAGCTATGGAAAGAAAAGCAAAGTTATATGATCAATTAGTAAAGACTGGTATTGATGGTAAATGGTTTTTCTTTTAAATTTTGCATGGCTTAATTCAAATTTTTATATTTAAATGTTTATCATCAATTGTCTTCTTGCATAATGATATGAATTATTATTCCTTGGCGAGGGAAACCTAACCACTCTGGGATGTCCAAATTCACTATCTTCAAAATTAAGGTATCCTGCGCCTTCAAGTCCATCAACACAAAATTAAATTAATAATATAACAGAAAATGGAAATGTTCCTATGCGATGCAATTACATAATAATAATAATAATTTGAGCACGAGGAGTCGAATAAGACATATATAGTAAATACGTATTAGTTAGGAGAGAATATTATTGGTGTGCATTTTTTAGTTTGATGGCTTTGATCGAATTATATAATAATGTATAATGTAAACTACTATTTTTTATTTGCATCAATGTAACATTTAAAAATTCATGTCGTGACCGGAAGAAAGTATCCGGATAAGGTTTTTTTTTCACATAATAAAAATTACACATAATTTACAGCCTACGTGTAAATTCTTATGTTTTTAATTTTTGTGTATGATTTTAAAGATTTTTAATTAACATTGCATTGAGAAAACACTAAAAATGGCAATCCTCAATTTTACAAAGTAAACCTTTTAAAAACTTATTGCTTATAATTTAGGTTCTCATGAGTATGAATAATCGAGTAATTTTCATGCTTTTATCATATATAGAAATTTTAAAAAAAACTAATCTCGGAATTAACTGAAGCTGAGCGAGGAAAATTTTTAGGCCTGGTAGTACTCATTCAAATAAATTTTATTGGCATTTATCTTTAATGTTTTTAGAATTAATTAACAACAAAAACCCTTAACTCACTAATTCATAATCGTCAACAATATAGATGATTCTGTTTATTTAAATGTTTTAAGGATTAAATTAATTTTTTTAAAGTGTCATTTAATGAACCAGCAGTCATTAAAAGAAAATTAATACAGAATAACAATAATAAGATT